CCTAATATATGTGATGGGTTATTCCTCTCTCATTTTTCAAAATAACATTATATATTTTTTCCTGGTCCATGAGTGTGTACGAGTACAAATTCAGATATATGAAATTCATTAGGTTATAAATATTATTGAATTTATAAATAAATTACCAACACGTGCCAAAATAGAAATCAGGAATGTTTTTATTGTTGGGGAGAGAATATGTCGCATCCATGTGACATTCGATTGTCAATTTATCATTATTGATGAATCACCAAACTTAAAGGGGACACTACGACGCTAATTGAATTTCTACCAGTAATTATTATTAATTTGACAGATACCAACACAAAATTAAAAATACATAAAATCAGCAGACATAACATTGGGTAAAACTCTGGGACAATATTTAAAAAAATGATTTTACTATACAATTGAATTATTTTAAATTATATTTAAAGTTAAATTTACAATTATAATGAAAATTAAATAACTGCAGGATTTTAAAAAATCTGTCGATTTTATAATTTCTTATAGAAGGATTTTGTTTAATCTGATTGTGATTATAAGTTTCATGTATACACGTAAGAAGTAAAAAGTGTGATTTAGATTATTGATGAAGTTGATACCACTATAAGTCATTAAACCATCCGCATAAGTTTAATACGCTTTTTAATTAAACTTAAAAAACAAGCGCTTGATTAAATTTTTTTTTTTGAAAATATTACAGTAAAAATTTACTGTTTATAAGTGTTTGTATAATATCAACAATTCTTTTTTGAACATTGGAGAATACTCATGGGATGAAATACAGCAGTGACGTAGAAATTATATAATAAAACAACAATACTATATTAACAAGGCGGTGAAGGCAGCTTGTTTAAGAACAATAATAAAACCACATTTTGAATTTACATTTGTTTTATACAAAAGTTGTACTAAAATGTTGTTAGGAAATGTGTTCTTGAGGTTGATTTTCCAACTAATTCTTTAGAATACAATATTCGACAATTTTCTAGAAACTTATATTAATAGTTGTAAGAAAAATAAATAAAATAAGAATTATTATTTTCAAACCCATATCCAATAACCCATTTTTTTTATGAGTTAAGTTAATTCGGTTTAAGATTTTGTGCGTGATTGCACGTAGTTTTATATTGGTTCCACCAATTCAACTGAATAGTACAAAATAAAGCACTTGTATTCATAAAATACATATTTAAATTGACGTTTGCTTGATTTGATTATTATTTTACTAAATGGGTTAACTATTGAGCCAAAATATACAATTTATTTCAAGTACGACACTAAGAAAATTGAAAAGTTTTCTGAGAATAAAATACTTTACATTTAGTACATCTATTTAAACATGAAGTTTTCTTCGTTTCGTTTTAATGTTTATACAGCGATTTAAATTAATTGACAGCTTTTGTGAACAATCATTTTTATCAGATGTACAACAATATAAAACTATGTTTATATGTTTTTATTAGTACAATGAATTTTGTTTAATACCAAATTAATTTTTTGTTGGGCATTTTTTGGTCCATTTTTTACCTGAAATGTTGATTTTGTGAGGTCTTAGACATTTTGTATTTCTTTAGATATAACATTGATAATGATAAAAAGACTAATTGAATATGATTTATGCTTATAAAATTGAACTAAAAAGAATTTATTTATTTATGTTAATGGATTTAGGTCTAATTGGATTAAAATTGATAGAACTAGAATATAGCCTTTTATTATAAAAACAATTTTTTAGCTTCGATGCGAAGCTGAGAAGGTATTGGTTTTACTAAGATGTGTTTTTTTTTTTTTGTGTCTGTTACCACTTTTTCTCAGCTCTCACCGAACCAATTCGTCAAAAGATCACAAATCGTATCTAGTCGAAGACATTACCCTTAAAAATTGAAAAAAATTCCCTCGTTACCCGTAAAAGGGGGAAACCTCCAAAAAAATTACAAATTTAAAAATCGCTAATTTTCGAAATTTTTTCACTTTTTTTTACTTAAAAGTGCCATAACTTTTTCAAAAATAAACATATCAATATAATTCTTTTTTATATAGATGCATAATATCATTACCTTTCATTTGGTATATTTTTTTCATAAATTTAACCCTTAACCTGCCCACAAGGGGGGATTTAAAATGACAACTTTTTCACAAAAAATTAATTTTTTTAACTTAAATTTTGAAAATGTTCCGGAAGGTCTGACACTTTTATATATATCTTAAATTAAAGCTAATGTAATATACTTTATAATGGTAAAAAAAAATTTCGGACTTTATTTTATCTTCATGGTGAAAACAGACATTAAACTTAATAAAAAAAATACGATTTTTGTAAAAAAATTCTTTTTTATATTTTTAACTTTATAATGCTATAACGTCTCGAAAGATGTATGGATCAATATAATTCTTTTTTTTGTAGATGCATGATGTCTTTACCTATCATTTGGTATATTTTTTTTATAAATCTGACTTTTTACCTGCCTACAGGGGGGGATTCAAAATGACAACTTTTTCACAAAAAATTGACTTTTTCAACTTAAATTTTGAAAGTGTTCCGGAAAGTCTGACACTTTTATATATATCTTAAATTAAAGCTAATGTAATATACTTTATCATGGAAAAAAAAAATTTCGGACTTTATTTTATCTTCAAGGTGAAAATGGCTACCAAATGCTATTATTGTGTGAAAATTCTCAATTTTATTTTTTACATTTTTAACATTATAATGCTATAACTTATTGAAAAGTGTATTGATCAATATAATTTTTTTATGGGAAATACTATTTTCTAATAATCTCTTTTTTATTCTACATACTTTGTCTTAATCAGGATATTAATAAGGAACTAGCAGTTTATGAAGCTTTTGGAATAATCCACCAATTTTTTAAAATTAAACACTATCTAAAGATTTGCATCGAAGCGTTTTTTTTTTATAGTGATTTTAATCACTGTCAGATATCATTATACTTGATCCAACTATGCCACGTAACCACTGTGCCGCGACCCCCCTGTGCTGGGTTTTTTTTTTTTGGAATTGTATAATCTGTAACAAATTTAATTACAATAAGCAAATATATAAAATCATATATAGAGACAGCAGGATTGATAAAAAGAGGCCAACCGGTGCTGGTACTTCATGAAGTGTGAAATAGTGGATTAGTCAACCAATAGCTCGCGACACCACGTTCTCTTTATGCGCCTTTTGGAGTCACCAAGGATAGAGTGGACAGATAGATCAGAAATCAGGGAGTTTTGATGGTGTAATGTTTTGGAGTGTAACGCTTGTAGAATGTTTTAGCTGTTTTTTGGACTGTTGGGACGGTGAGATCATTATGAAGGGTATCATTGGAGACGTAAAAAGGAGCTTTAGTTATTTGGCGGAGGCATTTGTTTTGGGAGGTTTGTACTTTATTGATGTTGCATGATTTGGTGCCATAAATCTGCCTAAAGATTGATGCCATACATCAAAATTGGTTTGAGGAGTAATTTGTATATAAGAAGTTTATTTTTGAGATTGAGGTGTTGTGATGTGAGAATGAAACACAATTGATGGGAGCGGTTGCTTAAGACGAGACGTTTGGAATGGATATGAGCTGCTCAAGTAAGGCGACGGTCTAGGTGCAGAAATTTTGGGTGGTTGGTAGGGGTATGTTATTGAGGTAAATATGTGGGTAGACTGTTTGTTTTAAAGTAAATGTGCAGTGAATGGAAAATCAATATTTATTTGAAATAATTAGAAAAGAAATTAGGTTGATAAGTTATTTATAATAAAAGATCTATATATTTTTCATTATTCTATTCCGTGTGTCAAAAAACAATTATAATTATTTTCAGATCTAATACAATTTTTTCAAGTAAACAATATTAAATAAGTGTATGAAAATTTCATTATTATTCAATATCAATAACCAATCTAATAAGTAGAAATTCAGTTAAGGGAAGATCAATGCTTGAAACCGATAACTTAAGGGTGTGTCTGACAGCGTTACCTAGTGGATTGCCAATAAACAACAACACCATCCACAAATTATTATTATTATTTTATAAACTCTACGTGGAATAGTAAAAGCAATAAAAATCTCATTACAAACACCCTCGCCCTAAATTAACACTATTCGCAGGGCAGTAAACAATTTTATAGACAACAAATTACTAATTTAACCCCAAATAAATACCCATTCGCGTGTTATTACTAACTTTATTACGTGCACAAAAAAGAGCTCAGTGTTCCTTAAAAACATTTTTAATGTACACAAAATATATACTTTTTTAAAATTAATTACTAAAAAATAAAAGGGTTGTTTTTTCAACATTTTCTTTTGAAAATTGCTATTTATTTTACCTCGGCGCAAGGCCATTATTAACGTTTTTAAGGTCTGGAGTTTTTTTATACTTATAACGGCGGCAGTGGTCGACGTAATCCGCGTATTAACGGTCCAAATAAAAAAGTATTCAGACGGAACCCGCATACAAAAATTTAACGACACGAATATTATATACCAGAGACATTATGGATATCTTGAACGCTCCTTGGCGTTAATTAAGTGCGTTCTTGTAATGACTGAAGCCTCAGCGTCTCGTTGTTTTTGAATAGGGATTCTCTTTACATGTTAATGTAATGTGTTTTTTTTTGTGATAGAATAAAAAATAAGAAAACTTATGTGTAAGCCACATAAGCGTCATTTTTGAGGAGATTATTCTTAAGAGCAGTTTATCATACTACATTTTTTACAATGAGATTTTTTATAATGCGGACAAACCACAAGAAATCAATAATAAAATGTAACGACTTTTCGTCGTTTTCAAGGCTATGTACAACGTTTTTTTTTTTTTGGATAAGTGGTTGATGACATATTATCGATTGACACCAGTGAAAAAGATATTAAATAATATGATAGAAAAAGTACAAATAGCAAAAAAAAAAAAAGCGATAGAGGAGGATTTTACAGGTACATAAGTATTTCAGGGGTGCACTGCGATTTCTATGGAATGGTTTTCCAAGCACTTACCTTTATGCTATCGTAGCAGGCGGTCACTCGACCATTTTGCACTTCTACGTTGGCTGCCGGATGGGCGAACTTACAGTCTGTGTCCGGCCTGGAGCATTTGTTTCGCTGGTACTCTCTGCACACTTCCAACTGCAGCCATCTTGAATCTTTGCCATTAAGAAGATTGTTCATGTTGACCACTGCCATTGTATGTTAATATTTGCGAGTGTATAAATCGGACAGAGTTGCAGCAACAGCAATGGTAGCAGCAGAAAGCGGAGAGATGGGTACGGCCGAGTGCGAACGAATGCTTGTAGAGATGTCCGCGGAACACGTAGTTGTGTGTAATTAACGTGCAGAAGCGTTCAACTATTACAGCTATGACTGATGCGGTAACTGAACGACCCAGTGGCGGACGATGATATCATTTAACCTTTTGGCTTTTGTATGTGGTCGACGACGATGCGGGTCTTACACGCGCGTTTAAGCTCTATTTAGGAAGCAACAACAAGCCGTTGGCCAGTAGTTCTGCAAAATAAAAAAAAACAAAACAAGAGGAATATTAAAAAAAAGATACAAAACGGACAAAAGCACGCATTTAACGCATCAAAAGTCAGTTGTTTAGAATCATCGTGAAGTTTTATTTTATTGTCCCACAGAAGGGTTGATAATTGTTTACCAAAAAGGTGATAAGGGGATGCTCCATTATTCTTAACACCATCATTAACTTTTCATTACTAGCTGACTACTTCGGTTTAAGCGGGTGCATATAATGTATGTATGAATATTTAATGGCCACTGGTATGAGGATGTGTCATCGTTTGTCGTGTGCGAGTCGTAGCGGAAGGAACGTGTTCAGGAATAATCATAAACATTATATTGTTATACGAACAGCAGCTTTTATAATAGTTCCCGAGTTGGGTTTAAGGACAGTTATTTGTAAATTCATGTGCGAAACACGAGGATGACTAGGATGGGACATTAGAGGGAAGTCAGTAAAATAACTTTGTGATAACTCGTTAGTCGCTGCTAAAATTGCAACACCTTATAAATGGCTGTAACCAAGCAACGATCGTGTTAGTCAATGAGCAATTAAACAACATTATGATAGCTTATTTAATTTCCTGCAAATATAATTTTATGTTATTTTTACCTTTAAGCTTATAATATCTATGTATCTCAAAAAATTAACTTTTTAAAACGAGCAAAATATTTCAACAAAATATTAATTTGTACATGAAAATTTTAATAAAATAAAATTATAACTAAACTAAATCAAGTTAGCATTTATCAAATGTATAGATTATATTTAATGTAATCAGTAAAAATAAGTAATACAATGTTTTTCCTGTAAAACTATAATAACTGTAAACTTTACGTAAAGCTTTTAATATTGTTTAAATCGGGTGATATTACTATTACTTTTTTTTATGAATTTAAGCAATAATATTATGCAATAACTTTATGAGGGCATCGTAAAAATAGAATGAAAACCAAAACGGTTTATTGTTGGTTAAAAATGAAAATGATAATAATACACATAAAAATAAATGACGAGGCGCCACCAAGATGTTTAATTTTGTCCAGAAAACCTTTAGTTTTAATGCAGCTGAGTGGCAACACCAACCAGTTAATTGTATAAAATACACTATATAATGTCTCCAGACCTCACATTGAGTTTAACGACGCTATTGAGTTTAATAAACACAATAAAAACATCCATGTAAATTGTCTGCTTTTAATTATTTGGCCAAACAGACGGCTTGGGAACAGAGCGTTTGGTTATATAGCTACATGAAAAGCAAAAGGTTCTAAGGGAATTTATTTTTCAAAAATAACTTGGATATTATTTAAAATTATTAATAAATAATATAAATTAAACTAGTTAAAGATAAATGAATTCGAGATTAATGACTTTAATTATCTTTTAAATAAAATTTTTTATTTAAAAAGTTATTAAAAAACCATAAGATACTTTATTTTTAAAAGTTAACAGTTGTCTGATAAAAATATAAAATATTGGGAACTAAAAGGTTTTTTTTATAGAACTTATTGTTTTGTAGACAAAATTTTTATCTCTTCTATTTTTATAAAATTATTTTTGTTCTGATGACTATAATGTTTAAATTTTATATACAATATACATGGTGCTTTATTTATCACAAATCGCATAATTAATCGAAATATAAAAATAAAATTGAGAATTTCTATAGAGGTTTCTTTTAGGTACATGTTTTTTTCAATTTATCAATCACCAAATATTAATCTAGGAATTAAAATCTAAATAACCTCTGAAATATAGATCCAAAAGTTGTTATCTTCATTTTCAGTTATGCATGTTGGCGTTAGAAAAGAGTAAACTTGAAACCCTTGAAGGTATAAGGATTCTTCTTTTTCTTTTCTAAAGGCTAAGCCTCATCATAGCTTAGCTATATCCTGGAAATTAAGTGCAGTGGTTTCCCGTTGCCTTCTGCACTGAGAACATGGTAATTTTTCGCCACCGTAGAAGCGCACGCATGGTCACCCATCCGTTTACCTACGGCGGTAGGCGTGGCTTAACACTAGAATTTTGTCAACAACTAGTGTGACCACTGCGCCACACCACGCCCCTATAAGGGATTAATATAAAAATAATTTTTGATTAATAAATTAAGAAAAACAAGTACCTAAAAGAAACCAAAAAAAGATCTCAATATTATTTTTTTTCGACTAATTAAGTTATTTATGATAATTATAACCCAACCAAACCTTACACAATTTTGATTTTAAATATTTCAATTGTAGAATGGTACACCTAAAAAACGTTTCCCTGTAAGACCATGAAATGTTGATTAAGAACCTTTTGGTTTTGATGCCTTAATATGTAGAATGGAGAGAGTGGATTTAAGTAAGTAAACTTAATTGGTGTACAATAATTGTAGAAAAGAAAAGAAAAAAATGTAAAAACAACACGACATATAAGTCTTAAATCTCAATATCGAACAAACTTTGCACTGTAGCTGTCTCTTTGTGGCATAAATACTTGTAATCAAAAATACAAGTTCAACCGCACGAAACTTATTTAATATATTATACAACTCTTATATCTAAACAAAACAACAAAAGTTTATCAGAGAAATAAAATGAAATCAGTAGAAGAAACAAAAATGAACCTATATATTTTAATGGGTTTTCTTTTTTGTAAACAGTATCTTATGTACCTATGTATTTTACTTCGTATAAATCCATATTACGTAAATGCCGAAAAAAATCATTGATCAGGAATATCCTTTTAAGGCTCAGAAGGTTAAAATTTTGTTCAATGACTTCGCAAAAGTCTATACATTGAAAAGATTTAAGCATGAAAACATGCTTGCTTTATGCCTTACAATCCATCATAATCAACTGACCAAATTATGATTTTTATATGATATTTTAAGAGATAAAGTTTTTTCTTTTTCAATTTATGCCTAAAAATTTTTTAATTTTAATTCCAGACGTTTTCTTAAAATATGGTATCCTAAAAATAATTAATTTAATGAAATAAATTCAAAATTGTTGTTAAAATAATAAAATTAAGTGTTTTATATACTACACATAATTTTTTAAAACCTAATTTTAATTAATGATCTCATGTGGTACAAAAGTATACATAAAATAAAATAATGCATATTTTATAATGTGTTCAAAAGAGCCTTATGCATACCATTAAAAGTATTTCAATTAAAATTCTTCAAATGAAAAGCAAAATTCTTCTTCTTTGAGAATAACTTTAACATAAATCAACACATCAAAATAAATTCAAACCTCAAAAATTAATTAATTAATCACTATTAGATGTCAATAAAATTTTAAGTTAAATTAGAGATATTTTTTTTTTTGTGACAAAAAAAAAAGTAGTCAATAAAAATATGTTATTTTATTTTACTCTGATTTTACATTGTGTATTATGGTTATTAATCTGTAAAATTTTAATCAATCCTAGAATAATTATTTTCAATATTAATTATAATTAATATTGAGTATAAACTAAAATAAATAAAATACTTAAATTTGAAAACAAAAATTTATTATTTACGATTCTAAAAATCAATAATAAAAGGATCAATACATATTTAAATAATTCGTTAAATTCATTACTGCTATAAAAGATTTCTAATGTATATTTTTGGTAAATATTCGCATTATTTACATTTTCCAATGTATATAAATATTTGTAAAGCTGAGTTGTCACTCATAAAGATTGGTGGAAAAGCATAAAGGTAAGAGGCCAAAAAGGTCCGACTCGCCAGACCCTAACCCAATAAACTATATACATATTTTGTTGTGTAAAAGCTATTATCCTTGCCAAAATTCTGATTTAATAACGTCGGGCTTTAATAATAACATCAGCAGTATAATAGTAAAGTATATTACAGTAAGGATACCTATCTAATTATGTTAAGTCATACAGCTGATTTCTGTAAAAGTTATAGCACTTTTAAATTAAATTTCAAATAATGACTATAAAAATATATAAAATGTTTAATAGACTTTTTTTTTTATGACGTAATATATTACATCTTTTTATAAGTGTTTAAACTTCATTAGCATTTAATAATTAGAAAATTTACAAATTGTATTGTATTACAACACTAAGTTATTCTATGATAACATAATGTTTACAGGAAGCGACGCTTTTTATTGTCTACTGCTCGTTACTTCTCCTAATCGATAGTGCACAGCTCCTTCTGTTCTTTAGAGATTTGCATGGAATTTAATAGATTTTTAATTCAGTTTTTCAGGTAATAAATGCCAGTGTCACAATGAATCTGCGTTGTTCTCAATCTGATGACACTTTAAGCAGATCTTAAGGAATTAATTAATTTAAAGTTTGGTGATTTTTAATTTTAGAATGGTTTACTGACGTGACCTGTATAAGTTTTAAGTGGACGAGTTGATATATTTTTTGAATAACTTATAATATGGAATGAGACATTAAAATTAAATGGAGTGTTTGTATTTATTTGACTGTTTGTAAAGAGTTCTATTAAAAAAAATATTTAAATGATCTGGAATCCTTTTCTCGTAAAATATTTTCAAATACGGCTTCAAAATGGAATATAAAAAAATGAATTACAAGTAAATAACAATATATAAAAAAATTTCAATTAGAAGCTTCTCGCTTAATTTTTAGACATAACTTAACGCAATAGGGAATGTATCGGAATGATTACATTAAAACAGCAAATATTTATAAACACCGACTTTATATAGATGCATTTTCTTCGACAAACGGTTACTTTCACTATCTCAAAATGGAAAGGCGAAATGTCGTAAGGTATAATTATTTACATTTGGTGAAAAATAAGGTAAATAAAACGGATTTTAGGAAACACCGCCCGACGCATATATTGTCGTTAATAATACGCTTAAGTCTCATCTCTCTTGTCCCATGAAATTCGAATTCCGGCACGTGACGTTTATTAAACTACCGAGTGAGAACTTTTTACGCCATTAAGACAACGAACATTCCAAAAGTCCAAAAAAGTCGGACAGCATAAAAAATA